AAGAAGAAGCCACTGACAGCCACCTTCAACTCCCCAAGAGGGGGCGTGGTGGTGCACGCCTGTCATCCCAGCACTATGGCAGGCGGAGGCAGGATGGCGAGATGAAACTCAGCCTGGCCCGGTAAGCCCCTATCTTGAAAATGAAGCTGGGGATGTAGCTCAGTGTGGAGGCCCTGGGTTTTACTCTCAGGAGAAAAACAGAAACAACCCAGGTCACCTGCAGTCTCCGCTAGGCCTCAAGCTGGGGCTTGGCCCAGCGGGGCTCCTGGCCCTGCCAGATGCCACGTCCCATGCCCACTCCCTCCGTCTGGGCTCCAGCCCCAGTTCCCAGCCATGGACACCGCATTGTAGGTGAGCTGCGAGGCCATGTGGGAGCAGGATGGGAGAGAGCAGGGTGGCTCGCTGCATGCTGCAGGCATCTTGTCTCCATCCCCAAACCCTTGCGTAGCTCAGCTGTTCTGCTTTGAATGCAGCAGGCCAGGGGCCACTTGCATCCAGGCACAGTGGTGTATGACTGTAATTTCAGCGCTCAGGAGGCTGAAGCAGGACAGTTATACCAAGTTCAAGGCCAACCCCAAACAAGTACAAGAGCACATGGCAAGGAGGCTGAAGCAGGAGGGCAGTGGGACCCTCACCTATCACCCACTGGATCCAGATGACATCATAGGAGCCAGGCTCGGGGCTGAAGTCCTGTAGGCCACAGCAGAAGTAGTTCCTCACCCTCTTGCCCTCCTCCCCCAGGTAGGTCTTAGCCTTGGCCAGAAAGTCCTCTGTGACGTCCACCATGTCCACCACCTCGAAGAGCGGCAACAGCAGCCGCTTGGTGATTCTCCCGATGCCTGCTCCACAGTCCAGGGCACAGGACGTTCCTGGCCTATTGGGGCCTTCCTGGGAAGCAGAGCAAACGTCTCTCTCAGGGACCCAGCACGCACAGTGTCAGATGTCATAAGGCAATAGTAGCCCCCTCTTCTGGGCCTGTACTCTGCTCTCTGGGGGTGGAGCCCGGAGCCTGTATATACCTACTATGCGGTGATCCCGCAGGTATTTTTAAATTAAAGTCATACACAGGGCCTCATTAAGTTGTTCAGGCTGGCTTCACACTTTGGATCTTCCTGCTTTAGCCTCCAAGCAGCTGGGATTAGTGTGTATCCCTATCCCTGGCTGGGCCACACATCTCCAGGATGAAACCAGCTTCTGCTTAGAAGTACTAATGCAAACAGGAGCACGCATCTCTTCACCCTCCTTGAACCCAGGGAAATGGAGGTCAGTGTAATGACGGGGCAAAGGGACAGTAGGCAGTGGGGGAGATACAGGCCAGTGTGGCCTCCAGTCCTCTGCAGGGAGTAACAAGACCCTCTGTCCTGCAGTCACTGCCACTGAGGTCCCAGCACCAAATGGCCCTGCAGGACAGCTGGGCCTGGCTAATGTGGGCATGGGGCCCTGACGTCACCCGGGCTCTGGCCCCAGACAGAGGTGGTAGAGGTCACAGCCCGCCCGGCCCCCTAGAACACAAGCCTCTCTGAGCGGGGACCTGCCTACCCGCAGGAACCTCTGCAGGAACTTCCTGGAGCTGCTGAGGTCGATGCTGGAGATGTGGCCGTACCCGCCGAGCATGCCGTCCACCGTGGGTGGGACCTGCTTCCAGTACAGCTCGGCCCTGGAGTAGAACTGCTGCTCGTCCTCGATCACTTCGCTCGTCATGCTGCCACCAAGCCTGCAGGCCAGGCGCACTCCTGACACAGAAGGGACAGTCAGTGGCCAGGAGCAGCAGCAGGGCCCATGGAGGGGGGTAGAATCACCCCAGACATTGCACCCACATGCCCCCCGGTGCTAGGGACGCTCCAGGGTCCTGGCACTTCTGTCATCTGCGCCGTCACTCTGTGGAGCACTGTCACAATAGGGCAAGGAACCAGTGGTCTGCATGAGCTTAACTGGGGCTCACGTGGGCCACATACAGGTGGGATGGAGGAGGCCTCTCCACAGCAAGCAGAGCCAGCCCACAGGAAGACCTGATGTGAGAAGGCCTGAGGGAAGGAAGGGAGGGGAGGGTGCCGGTGCCCTCCGGGGCACGAACAGGTCCTTAGGGCAATCATGACTGCCTGGGCATGTGGGAGAACACCTAGCAGCTGGGCAAGCGGAAGTGCAGGTGGAGTCTCCACATCTCATTTGGTACCGTAGATGTCACCCCAAAGAGCCTGACTCTGTGGGCTGCAGTGTGGTCCACGGGGAACAAGGGCAGCTAGTGGATGGAGAGGGCACCACAATGCCAGCTCTGGGCCCTGGCAGGGCCCAACAAGCCCCAGGACGGGTGCGGGTTCAGCAGCCCTACCTTGTGGGCCATAGAGGGTAGAGGCTCGCCGCCCTGGCTGCCATGGGGCCAGCTGAGTTCAAGCCCTGACCCCACAGCACCTCCAGGGCAGGGCAGCAGCCAGATGCAGCAGGAAAACTAAAGGACAGAGCGGAAGTGCCATCCCCTCCCCCCAACACCTGTGCGCGATGCCAGCAGGAAGCCACCAATGCCTGGGCCCACAAGGCTCGGAGAACCATCACAGGCAACTCTTGAGACAAGGCTCGGGGAGAACTAAAAGAACCGAGCTGGGCATGTCTCGTGTCTCAGAGCAAGTGCTCTGGAGGGTGAGGCAGGACGATCACAAGCCTGCGGCCATCCCAGGCAACTTAGGGAAACCAGGAAAGGGCTGGGGACGTAGCTCAGTTCAGACCCTGGTCCTCAGCCTGAGACAGAACAAATAAAAAGGGAAAAAAGAAATAAGGGAGAAAGAAAAGCCTAAGTCTGAGATGCTCTAAGGGCTATGGGAGAAATCAGGACAGGAAAGGGTCCAGGATGAGCTCCCTGCTCAGACAGGTCGCAAGGGCGTGCACGCGGAAGGACGACAGCAGAAAGGCGGTGTCCTCCGTGGCTGCACTGTTTCCAGCTCTGTGCACGACTGTGCTCTGAACTCGTCCTGAGGAACCTTCCAGAAGCAGCACGCCTGCCTTGGCAAGCTCCTGGCCCCTTAGGCCGCCAGAGGGGTGCTGGGCGTGTGGCCCCACCTCCCAGCCTCAGCCCACTCCTGCTTTGGGCTGGACATTCTTCAGGAACAACGTCATAGTGGCCTGCGAGAACTGCCCACGGCTGTGCCCTGCCAGACCATCCTCTAAGGCTTGCTTGTGACTTCATGGGACCTTTACTGAGCCCACAGGGGAGCCTGCTTAAACCCTGCAGGTTCTTCAACCCACTTGCAGGCCCATCTGGGCTACACACTGCCGTCAGTCACTGTGCTGAGGAGCCTGCGAGTGGCAGGCGGGTGACCGTGGCTCACGCTGTCCCTGGGCCCACCACAGTGCTCCATACTGGTGTCTGTCTGGGAGCCACAGCCTAGGGGCAGATGCAACACCCCTCACCGCACCCTGAGGAATACGTGAGCAGAATGGGGAGGCTGCCAACCCTGAGGCTCCAGCCGAGAGCTGATGGGAAGTACCCACCAGCCCAAATGTCGCCCTGTCACTGGTTAAGCTGCCTACTCCCTGCCAACAGGTCCACAGACACCATGTCACAATCCCTCCAGAGATCACCAGAGAGAACAGTGCACCACCAGCCCTGTCTCCACTGGTGGCCACCCAGCAGCCTGGGGAACTTCAGCTTTGCCAGCCCGGAAACCCCACGGGACAACAGCAGCACTGACAGCCTGAGGTTTCTCCTGTCTTCCTGCAGCTCTCTTATTTTCCCAGCAGCACACAAATGTTCAACAAAAAGCTCACTTGGGAGCAAATACCACAAGAGCTTGGGGCGGACTTTTCATGGGGCACACTCCCTACCATCTGCAAGCCTCTGGGACAAGAACAAGGACAGGACCCCATGCAGCCCACCTTGGCATTAGCTCAGGGCAGGGGTTGCTAATTGGCTGTTGATGAACAGAAGGGATTTTATACAGCTGTGACTAGTTTCCATTTTTAGGAAAATTCTATGGACAACAGTCCAGACATTCTAAGCTGATAAAGCTGAAGGCCATTTCTGCCAGTGTCATTTTTCTGCTTTACCAAAAGCCCTATGCTGTGATTGCTTTAAATGTCAAGGTCCCTGCATAACCTAATTTACAAGAATCCACTTGCACGCAGATCTTAGGAATGGCCCAGGAGGCCCAGCTCAGCCGGGAAATGGCAAGGCCCACGCGGACACCGGCTCCCGGCTCCGGAAGAAAGAAAGGAGATTCCTGTTCTGTCCACACATGGCACGCGGGGGTCCATGTCTGAGTGGCAGTATGTCCTAGGGGCTACAAGTCACAGGGGCACATCCAGGTCAGGCAGGTGAAGGGTGTCACCCACACTCTACCCTCAGCACGGGGAGGAGCTGCCCAGCTGCAGGGCCCAGCAAGCCCAGGGCCACCATGTGGCTGTGCCTGAACTGTTACAGACTTCTGCCTGGTCACCTCATGTTCCCCATGCAACAACATTCCTAAGAAAAAGTCTGAAAGCAACAGGAGATAAAACCTTGCTGCAAACTGTTTCCTCACATCTGTGGGGACAGCAAAGCATGTGCTCCATGGAAAGGAACAAAGCGCAGGTGGTGGCGCTCAGAGGCTGAGGCCAGAGGGCTGAGCGCTTAAGCACAAAAAGAGCTGGGAGTGAGAGTGCACACCTGGCTCACGGCACTCGGGAGGCTGAGGCAGGACTGCCAAGTTTGAGTCCGTTTTGGGCAACTTAGAGACTTAGCAAGACCTTGTCTCAAAATAAAAACTAAAAATGGCCAAGGATGTAGCTCAATTGAAGGTCCTGGGTTCAGTCCCCAGTACTGCAAAAAAAATAAAACAAATCTTGGAAAAGCAAATCAAAATGGGGAGAATTAAAAAGAAAACAAGGCCCTCGTTAGATGCACTGGGTTGGCCTCAGCTGTGCTCACTGGCTGTGCAAGCCAGAAGACCTGGCCTCGCTCCCCTGAGCCCTCCCTTGGGCACAGAGACTGCGTGGAGAGCGGGTGGCAGCGACTCACACACAGGAAGCTGGAGGTGCTCTCCGCAGCGCCAGGCACACGGCCTTTGCGGCGCCAAGGCCCGAAACGAGTCCTTATCTGCCCTGCCCATTAGGAGCAATGCACGAGATGAATGCCTGAACACCGTACGAACTGGCACGCAGGGGGCTTCAGGGACGCACCTGATCACACGGCAGCTATCTCCTGGCCTCCAGCTGCACTTCGAATCGGCAGAGGTGAGGGTGAGATCCTCCAACGTAAATCCAGGGTAACTGCGGATTAAGACCTGGTCCTGGAAGCCAGACACGGTGGTATGCTTTTGTCTGTTTGTATTTGTCTGAGACAGGGTCTCATCCCTATGCAGTTGTCTGGCCTTGAACTCACTTTGTAGCCCAGGCTGGCCCTGAACTTGCAGCAGTCCTCCTGCCTCAGCCTCCGGAATGCTGGGATCACCCTGATGCTGACACCCTTATGCTTCTCCTATGTCTATCTGCATTTTCCCTGCATTTCCATGACTGGCTGGTGGTACACTTTTGTAATCCCAGCAATTGGGAGGCTGAGGCAGGAGGATCTCCAGTCTGAACTACTTAGGGGGGCTATGTTTCCACAAACGAGGCAAAAATAAAGAGGTTGTCTTGGAGATGGTAGGGTTTCTGGTCTCCACTAGAACCTTCTATATGCATCCCCAACCCTCCCACAGTCCTCAGTATACAGAAAAACCAACACATTAAGAAAGTAATATGCCTTAAACTAACACTCAGGATTGCAGCCCTGGTCTCCCCCGGGGCTCAGACCTCGCCCAGCCCACCCTTCCTTATTGTACAGAGAAACCAGAGATCAAAGCTCGCTCCGTCGATGGGTTGCAAGGTCTGGGCCTCTTAGGACGCAGTCCCTGCAAACCTGCTGACCTCAAGACCCACGGGCTTTGGCGGCAGCTGTCTCTGAGCTGCACCTGTGCCCGGGATTAACCATGACAGCGACTCCTGCGCACAGGCGTGCCGGGCGTTTCTTCGGATCCCTCACACCCCGCCTCGCAGCGGCGCTCGCCGTATCCCCGAGTCTCAGAGGGGAAACAGACTCGGAGCGCAGCCTTAGAGAGCCTGCAGCTCCTCCTCCTCCTCCTCCTCCTCCCCGTGGTCTCTTCTGTCCCAGCCCAGATTCGGCAGGACCTCCGGGGACAAGCACGTGGTGCCCGAGCCGGTGACGCGCACGCGCCGGGACACATGGAGGGGCGGCCTGGGTCTGAGGCAGCTGGGGTCGGGTCCTCTTTCTCCCGGGGCCGCCTCCCCTCCGTCCTCCTCGCGCTACTCACCCCGGGCGGGGCCTCCCGGGACGAGGACGAGAGGACGCGGGAGAGGAAAGGAGAGCGAAGGCTCCACTTGTCAGCTACCAGAAGTGACACCACATGGCACGCGCTGCCTACGTCCCTGCACGTCACTTCCGGGCGCCAGGAGCGTGACCACGTGTAGCCCCGCCCCTCACCCGGATCGCCCCGCCCCTCACCCGGATCGCCCCGCCCCGCGGATTGGGTGGGGGGCTCGCTCTCCGGATTATTTTGTTTGAGTGGAAGGACCGCCCGGATTTCAGGATTTAAAGAAGCCGCGGAGTCTGATCGCTCCTCTTCTCCAGCAAATAGCACTGCTTCATTTGGAGGCTGTGCGTGGCGTCGCCTGCCAGATGGATGTCATAATTGCTCGGTTTCTAGCCTTTAGCCCCGCGTTTGCTGTGGCTTTCAGGAACCAGAACGACATGGTGGCACAGGCCTGTGATCCCAGCACTTGGGAGGCAGAGACAGGAAGATCGCTGCGAGTTCAAGGCCAACATCAGCTACACAGTGAGGTCAAAGCCAGTCTGAACTACTTAGGGAGACCCTGTCGCATAAATAAAAAGATTCACAATATTAATCTTGCTAAGTTCATTTGCCCTAACTTCCATCCTGATGAAAGGGGGTGGAGTGAGGGTGGGGGTGGTTGCTGAGAAGCCCCTTGAGGCCAAGAAGAGAGACCCAGGCTATGGGGTGGCCCCCAGTGAAGGGTGGAGCACCCTGACTCTCAAGAGAGCCCAAGGGCAGTAGGGAGATGACAGGCAGGTTGTGCCCCTGAAAGTGGGGAGGGGCTCTAAACTCCACTGGTCCTTCCCAGAAACCCTAGCGTGTGGGTGCGACACCACTCTGGAGCCAGCTCAGGCCTGCAGTCCGAGACCCCCCCCCCCACCTCCCCTGCCACCCGTGAGAATTCAGGGAGGACTGGGGTGCTGCCTGCCCACAGCGCAGTTTGTTAGAAGTGGGTGTTAGGCTGGGAGTCACTAAGGATGGTGCGCTTTCTGAGCGTGGCTGAGACTCTGGCTTGGTCCCCCTCATTGGAAAAAAAGCCATTTTGGCACTGCCTGGACCCCCTCATTATGAATCTGGGGTAGGAGACCTGGAGACCCCTTAGGGCTGGGAGGTCCCGGAGGGTCTCTCTTTGCACAGGAGAGATTCTGCAGGGCCCTGCAATCAACCATCTGCGGTGCCCACACTCTGGAGGCAGCCAAGTGCCCTGTTTCCCATGGCTCCATCGTGTGCTCACGAGCGGGTTACTGTCTCCTTTCTACCGACGAGCACGGGCAGCCAGAAGCTCCCAGGCTGGAAAGCTAGTAAGGAGTGGAGCCCAGATGAAACCCTAAGTAACTGCCTGGGTTAACCTGGCCTGAGGGCGCACGCCTGTAATCCCAGCTGCCTAGTGAGACCCTGTACCAAAAACGTAAATGGAGAAAAAAGAGGCCTTCACACTGAGCCGCATACTCAGCCTTATCTGTTTATTTTTATTTTTTCTACAGGGTCTCAGTATGCAGTTCCAGCTCCTAGTGATCCTCCTGTTTTCTGCCTCCCCAGGGCTGGGATTAGAGGCGAGCGCCACCACACCCGGACCCCATCCCGGGCTCAGGGCCCCCGAGGGCGGGGCTAGCGTGGCAAGTGGTGCCAGAAATCGAACCCTGGCCCCTGTGCTTGCCTAAGCAAGCGGTAAGTCCGATGAGCTATGTCGCAGCCCTGTTTATTTTTGAGACAAGGCCTCGCGGTGTAGTTCAGGCTGGCCTGGAGCTCGCAGTGATCTTCTTGCCTCAGCCTCCTGAGGGCTGGGATTACCGGTTATAATCTTTTCAGTAGTTGAGTGACAGAAGGTCACCTTTGTTGTGCGTGTACCACGTGCCTGGCAGTGACCTGAGCGCCTGACACGTACTGGCTGCTGAAATCAACGTCACAGCGCCCCCCACAGGTGGGGGTATTCTTGCCGTCACTTTTCCGGGTGAGGAAACAGATGCTGAGAGGGCTGTCACCGAAAGCCACTCTCTCAATGTCCACGGAGCCAGTGGTGCACTGAGCCTAGCCCTGGGCGCCACATCCGGCACGATGGCCAGCGCCAGCTCCGCTCCCGTCCCCCCTGCGCGCCCCGGCGGGAGGCCACGCTGAGCTGAGTGCCAAGGCCATGTTCCTGCACCCCCTGCTCCTGGGCGCCCAGATGGCACCTGATGGGTGTCCCCGCGCCGCCGGCGACCTCCGGCGCCGAGCCTCACCACTGCCCCAGCTAGGCAGGCCGGAGCTCGGGGCGCCCTGGGGCACTGGAGGTGCAGGGGCCTCTCGGGTGCTGGGCGGCGGTTCCTCGTGGTGGCAGGACCGGGACGTTGGGCCGGGGCTGGGTGTCTGGAGCCCCCCGCCGCCGGTGCTGCCCACTGAGACCCGGCGGGTGAAGCGCCACCTGCTGCCACCGCTGCTCTCACCACCAGCACCCTGGGCCCCGGCTCCACACCGCCCCTGGCCTCGGGAGCCCGAGCCCGTCCGCAAGGGCTTGGGCAAGGAGACCCCGGAGCCCGTGGGGACACTCCTGGGAGAACTGCTCCCCTGCAAGTTCCGCGAGTTCCTGGCCCAGCTGCGGGCCAAGTGCTCAGAGGAGCCGGAGTTGCAGGCGCAGAGTGAGGCCAATGCACACAAGCGGGGTCCTCCGGGGGTGGGGCGTCCTCAGAGCCTTCCCTGAGGCTGGTCTGCCATGCCCCAGACTAGGTCAGTAGAGGTACCCAGAGTAAAAACTGTCTCCCAGCTCCTAGCTGACTCCTCCTTGTTTCTCCAGCTCCCTCAGCACCACGGCGCCATCCAAGTGGGATGTCAGAGCCCTGGCCCAACTCTTCGCAGTGTCCCAGCTGCCAGTTCCTCCCAGATCTGCGGTAAGTGTCTCAGGCCTTCTCCGCGGGGCAGGATTGCTTGGATGTTTCCAGGATGGTGGGCCTGACTGCTTATGACAGACGTGGTCTATTTGTCTTCAAGGAACCAGTTGTCAGACTTCCAGGAGAGACTTGAGAAGATTTTGCACCACCAGAAATCTACCCTGGGACCCCTGAGGGGGGACCACTCAGAATTCCCCACAGTCAGGAAGGCCAGCCCGTGAGTTACAGCAGGGGGTATGGAGTGGGTGAAGGGTGTTGCTTCACTTGTCTTATTTTTTCTGTTTTTCACCCATTTGTTTATCCACTTATCCATCCATCCATCAGTCCATTAATCAGATCTTCTCCCAACACATTCCTAATTCCTCTCTGAATCCAGTCATATAGTTATCATCGTTCTCACCCCATTCCTTGCTTACCTCTTATCCATGAACCAGGTTTTCTACAACCTATTCATGAATTTCTCCATCATTCATCAATCCCTCCCTCCAGCCAGTCACTGTCTATTCAGACTCCCTCTGTCCATCCATCCATCCATCCATCCATCCATCCATCCATCCAGACCATCCATCCACCTGTCCATCCATCCATCCACCCACCCACCATCCATCCATCCATCCATCCATCCATCCATCCATCCATCCATCCAGACCATCCATCCATCCATCCATCCAGACCATCCATCCACCTGTCCATCCATCCATCCATCCATCCATCCATCCATCCATCCACCCACCCACCCACCCATCCACCTATGATGCAGTCCTTCTCTCAGATCCTATTATGAATTCATCTACCAGTCCATGTATCCATCAGCCCACCCACCTAGCCTTCTATCCTTCCTGCTTTCTTCCAACCTTCATTAGGTTTTAGAATATGTCAAATCTTGGAGAAATAAGAAATGAACTTGGGGCCGGCGAGATAGCTCAGTGGACTAAAGCATCTGTTTAGGCAAGCTTAGAGACTTGAGTTCAATTGCCTGTGTAACACACCTTGCCAAACCCACCCCCAGGGCTGAGTAAAAAGAAAAAATTAACAGAAGAAACCAGCTATTTGCTTTTATGTGGGCCTACTAGAATTCTAATGGAAGTGGAAGGGGGAAAGAAACCAGCAGAGAAATGCTTCCAGCTTAAATAGGCTTAGGCAGAGGTGAAGGGTGCAAAACACTGTTCAAGAGTTTAAAGACTGGGGACCATGGTTACTTAGCACACATTTCATCTCTTCTCATGCTGTACCCATGGCAGACAATACTAATGGATCACAGCACATCTCTTCTCTGAGTCTGAGGGTCTGCTCCAGGCAGGTGCCACTAATGGATCACAGATTGTCATAGTTACTTTTCTCCCATTGCTGAGACAAAATACCCAGCACTTACAAGTTAAGAGAAGAAAGGTTTATTTGGCTTACAGTTCAAAGAGGTTTCAGTCCATAGTTGGCCAGCCCCAAGGCAGAGTGGCACAGCAGAGGGCTACTGCAGAGGAGAAAGAGTGTATTGCTGGGAAAGACGGCAGAAGCAACAAGGGACCTAAACAGCATCTTTCCCCCCCTTTGGCCCTCTGCAGACTTCCCAGGGCAGGAAGCACTCACACCTTAATCACGGTGCCCGTGAGCCTAGCAGCGCACCATGAATCAATTTTAGCATCACACACTCTAGAGCCAGCCACCTCTGAAAAAGCCCTAGGCTCTGGGGATCGTGGAGATACAAGCCTAGCTCAGCTGGAACAGTGCCAGCCCAGGAGCTCGGATAAAGTCAGGCCAAGGCCACACACCCTTTTTCCCAAGCTATGACGCAGGGACGCAGAAGAGCAGGGGTAGTCGATTTGCGGACTCAGGCGTGCAGGGCTGGGGAGCACCTCGCCTGGCCCTGTGGCAGTCTGTGGAGGGTTGCACACGGGATGGGGCGTACTGAGCAGCTTTCACTGCTTGGCGTCTGCCGCAGGCAGGGCACTTTTGCAACCTTGTACGCCCAGGGATGCCTGGGCATGTATGGGGGGAGGGATAACCATGATTCTCCTCATGTTGCAGATAAGGAAACTGAGGCTCAAGAGTTAAGATAGAGACCCAGGACGGCCTGAGTCCTGGATTTGAATTTGTACCATGTCTGCTTGCCTGCTGGAGCTGTGAGACTGCAGACTCGGGAAGCAGGCGCAGGTGGCCTGCACCCCTTCCAGCCTTTCCAGCTGTGTGACCTTGGTCATATTGCCCAAGTCTCTGTGCCTCGATTTCCTTGTCTGTAGAATGGGAATAATACCTGAGGGTGGTGGCTGTAATGCTAGCACTCAGGAAGGAAGGTGAGGCAGGAAGATAGCCGTGGCCATGTTTAAGGGTAACGTGGGCTGCATAGCCACACCCTTGACTCAAGAAACCAAACCCATCAAACAAAAGGGATAGTACTGTTCCGTGGAAGTTGTATGGGTTTGAGGAAAGAGGCATATTACATAATCAGCCCCTGCCTGCAGCTGTGGCGGGTCACTCGTGTCAGTGTGGAGTACCTTTGGGCTTAAGCCCTCCACCCTCCCTCCCTCTCCGCAGGTTCTGTGGCATAGAAGACCCCCAGGCTGTGCCCACCCCCAACTTCTGCAGTGGAGGCTTGGGGCCCCGAAAGCGCAGCTGCCCCTTCCGGGTACGGTTTGCAGATGAGTCCCTCACGGACAGCGCCCTCCGCTACTGGGAACGTCATTGTGCAGGTAGATGTTTGGGACAGGTGCCCCAAGGATGGGCACTCCAGGACTCCAGAGTGACAGCATGGGGTGTGGAGGGCGGAGGCCATGGCTCTGGCCCCAAGTAGAGGGATTCCCCCTGGCCCTCAGAGGAAGCAGCTGCCCTGGCTGTGGGTGTCAGGGTAACCTTTGAGGACCAAGCAGGACTTTTGATAGCCAGCAGAAGTGGTGGCACAGGAAACAACAGTGGCTGCTTAGGCCTGACCACGGTTGACCTACTCTGTCTCCTGCCTGTATCCTTGAGGTCTAACCTCAAGGGTGGCAGAGGAGGTGCCCAGGAAGGTGGACAAGAGGAAACAGCTGTGTCCTGGGGACGCAGGAGCCAGTGTCCTGCATAGATAGTCAGTGCCCAGGGTGGCCTTTGCTCTCAACCTGTGGGGACAGATGCGAGGGTGTCCATTTTGACAGAGTTGCTCAAACGGGGTGGCAGGAGGCAAAAAGAATCAGAGACCCTGGCCTAGAATAAGCACTGCTGACCTCCCACCTCTCCTCCTCACTGTGCCCAGACATCCCTGGGCCTCCCAGAGTTAGCCCCCAGCAGTGATTCATTGAGCACCTACTGTGTGCAATTCCAGGAACTGCCTTTCCCAAACCCCCCCTTGGGGAAAACCCTGCAAGTCCAGGACCTCTGCTGATTCAGGAGGGACCCTCCGCAGGCCCAGACTACCTGCACTTTTTGCCCAACCTGTTGTTTTTTTTTTTTCCCATGGGGAAACTGAGACAGAAGGTTCTTGTGCAGATGCCGTACAGTCCAGTAACAGAAAAAAGCCAGAGTGGCCCCCACCCCAAATCGAAAGACAGGGCAAAACTGGGACAGAGTTTCATGCTGTGGCAGGTGGGAGATTCTTCCATCGGGTCACTGGCCACCAGGCGCTGTGTCCCTACCTAGGGCACAGGGGACCCGCCATATACCTGCCCAACCTCCCCACCCAGTTGTCTGCTGGGGGCTTTGGGAGTCCCTGCCTAGGCTGAATGGCAGCTGTGGGGCAGGAAGGGCTCTCGGCCCTGAGACACCATCTCCTTGGGACTTGGTGTCATCTCAAGGATTTCTTTGATGGTCACTGGGCTTCTGCTGCGGGACAAGGGTCCATTTGGGGCTGGAGCAGTAGTGGGGTCCTGGGGGCACAGCTTGGGGAGCAATTGGCAGAAGCAGTCTCATGAGAGTTTCAAAACCCAAGGCTTCTGTAGAGGCAGCCAGAAGCCTGGGGAAGCCTGGGGTTGCCATGGAGACGGCTGTACCCAGCAGAGCCAGCAGAGGGAGGAGGGGAGGGCAGGGGTGCCAGTGGCCCTCCTAGAGTAGGGAACTCACTGGTGCTCTCTCCCCTGCAGTCCAGCAGGACAGGACGGCCACCTCGCCAGCAGAGTCCATGTCCAGACCAGCACTCAGGAACCTCAGGAGGTGGCTAGACAGTTTACCCAAAACTGAGTGCCCCAAGGCCAAGGAGGACACCTCGGCCAGCTCCGCATGCTGGGCCCAACCTGGCCTGTGAGGCCCCGCCCTGCGCCTCCCATCCACATGCCCAGTACCTGGGGTGCGCCAAGCTCACTGGCTCCTGTCTTCCCCAGGCCGGCCCAGGAGCTGCAGAGCCACCTCTCTAAGGATGCCTCCCTAAATAGCAGCCTGCCCTTCGCCCCCAGGGTCAACACAATGAGGTCATGGAGGGACCTCCCAGGCCTCCTGGACACCTGCAGCTTCCTGGAGCAGGTGGGCCGATCACCCTGCTCCTGGAGCCAGAAGCCGGTGAGCACCAGGGTCAGTTGGTCCTGAGCGGCATTGCCAGGGGCGTGGCTGAGGCTCAGCCACTGGGGCGTATGGGGGCTGCCTTCCCTCAAAATGCCATGGTTGAGGAGCTGGGCTCCCTCTTAAGCCTAGCTGTCTGGCTCAGGTTCTGATGCTTGCCCAAGGCCAGGGGCCTGGCTACCTGTTTCATTCTTTTTTTTTTTTTTTTCTTTTTAATTTCATTTATTTATTTTTTTGTGTGTGGCCAGCTCAGCCCACCAGGGGGCGGGGCTGGCTGGCATGTGGTGCTGGGGGATTGAACCGCGGTCCCTGTGCTTTGCTAAGCTTGTTCTAAGTAGGTGCTTTAGACCACTGAGCCATCTCACCAGCCCCTACCTGTTTCATTCTTCATCTGTAAAATGGGCCCGCAACCCGGGCATGGGGGCACATACCTGTGATCCCAGCACTCAGGAGGCTGAGGCAGGAGAATCTACGTGAGCTTGAGACCAGCCTGGGCTCCACAGTGGGTTCAAGGCCAGCCTGGGCTCCGTAGAGAGACCCTGTCTCAAAAGACAAAACCAAAACAAAACAAACAAAATGAGAAAAAAACACAAAATGGGCCTGGGGCAGCTTGCACCCACCAAACTTCAGTGCAGAAGCCATGGGCCGGAACAGCCCCTGCCTCTTCCGAGGTCCCTGGCAGTGACTTAGCCCCCCTCCTCCTCTCTGTAGGAACCCTTACTGCCCAACCTGGTGCTGCAGTCAGTCCTGAAGCACGGCTACCCTAAGGGCTACTAGCTCCTCCCACCTTCCGAGACCCTGAATGCCTACAGGGTCCCCAGCTGAGGGTTGTATGCCTGCGAGGCAGCAAGAAGTGTCCTGTCTCAGCCTACAAATAAACACACTTCCCAGGCGGCTGGGATCTGCTTTTTGGTCTCCCGTACAGTACAAAGTCTGCTTCTGAGGTCTCCAGGGGTTCCTGGGCTGGGGGAGCTGGACTGTGCCCAGGGCCTGTGCCTGGATCTCCCTTCTGATTTGCGACCCTGCCCAGCCCCCGACCTGGCACCGTGCATCTGTCCACCCAGATCAGCCCACACCTGAAAGAGGCGCCTGCCGTGCGGGGAGCTGGAGGACGGGGAACTGTGCCCCCACCTCCTACCACACCTGTGCTCCGATCCCTGGATAAAGTCGCACCCCTTCCCCGTCCTTGGCGCCCATACCCAGGCCGCTGATCCAGCTCTTTATCGCCACCTCTTGGCCAGGGAGGACTCAGCCAGGGAATCAAAGCAGGCACCTTGCCGGGTGGAAGCCCGGGTCACTACAGATGCCTGGGGATAGACGGCGGCTGGTGGTGACACTGGGCTGTGGAAGACCGAGGGTTTTTTTCTGGAGAGGCGCCCTGTCACCAGGAGAAAGGCGGTGGGTAGACCGAGGATCGGTTTGGACAAAGCCAGCTTGGGGAGAGCTGGGAACAGCGCCGCAGCCGCCTACGTAGGCGCGCTCGGGAGCTGGAGCAGGAATTGGTACCCGCCCTACCTCACCCCTTGGCGTCTCCCGCATCTCCGACTCCAGGCTTTCACTCGCAGCGCCCCCCATCCCAGGCTATTTCCTGGGGGTCCCCAATGAGGCCGGATTGCTCCACTCCAACTCCTCGCACCTTCACCCGCCACGTGCCTCAGTTTCCCCCGCCCGCTCGCCCACCGGCTGTAGTGCCGCACCGGGACCACGTGGGGGCAGTGTTGGCCTGGCTTTGGCATCGCCGAAACTTCTCTGCTTCCTGCTCCAAATCAGAAACTTTTCCTCTCCCACCCACGCATCCCCTCCGCCCCCGGCTCCTGCACCTGCGCGGCCGCAACAACACCTGGGAGATCTGGGCGAACTTTATTTGTCGCCATGCAGACTCCAAAGTGCACGACCTCTACGCACTGATACTTGGCCCCACACCCGTCACACAGGGAAGGGACAGACATACACGACCACGCACACACAGACACCCCCAAGCCCTCTTCGTAGGCACAGGGCTCGGAACATACATCGCACCTCCAGCCCCGCCCCCTGCCCCTCACAGTCGGGGACCCTAGCCCCACGCTGGGGATTCCGGCTCACCTAAAAGCCACAAGTGTGTCTTCGATGGCTCTTCGGAGTGGCCTGTCTGTCCACCAAGGGGACATCCACGGCATGTTCAGCTGGATTTGCTTGCCAAAGGGGATATGGAGGGAGGGAGGGAACCCTCCAGAGAGTGGCCCCCTTCCTGCTGCCTGGTCAGAGTCCCAGCCTCTTGGGGTGAACGAGGTCCAGGAAGGCCCAGTTCTTTCAGAAGGTCACAGTTAGGGCTGGGGAGAGAGCTCAGTAGAATAAGTGCTTGCCTGGCAAGTGTAGGGTCCTGAGTTCAATCCCGGGTACTGAAAACAAAACAAAACAACCCAGAAGGTCACAGTTACAAAGTGTTGGAATTGGCCTCCAATTCAGGGGAAGGCAGTGCCATGGAGCCCCCTCGCTAAGGTCACCAGGTGGACAGGCTCTGGGGTCCCTTCCTGCAGCACTTGAAGGTGTGCAGAAGCGGAGAAAACGCAGGGGCTGTCAGGGAAAACTGACTTATCTGGAGCAGGTGGAATCTGGGGAGAGTGCAGCAGGCAGACAGAGCAGCTGAATAAGATGCTGGGCATGAAGCCTGTGGGTTTCCCCGGTGGACAGGCCACCCTGACCGGAAGTGGGCCGGGCACACAGAGGGAGCCTCGCCCGAAATGAAGGAGGCATGCCTGTGCTCCCTGGTGGGAGAGGAGATGTGGAACTCCAGGGAAGCCAGCCCCGGTGGGAGAGCAGCCCCGACTCATTGTTGAACAGCACTTTCTAGGGGACTGACTGGGTCCCCTCCCCTGTTCATATGTTGGTGTGCCGACCCCAGGGTAGTGGCAGCCTGTGGGATCTTCAGGAGCTAGTTGGGTCATGAGGGTGCGGCCCTCCCGAGTGGCATAGTGGCCTCTCAGCAGAGACTAGAGGGGGAGAAAGATGTCTTTCTGCCTAACGAGGACACAGCACATGGGAAGGGCAGGGCAGTGACCACAGTTACTGCTGCAGCCGCCTTGGCACTGCAGCCTCTTTGAGGACCATGGATGTTGAAGTGAGGAGCACAGGGACGGCTGCATCCCTTACCCCAGACAGACGGGCACACGTGTCCCCTTTCCCTCATTTCTGCCTCTCTGTCCTTCTGTCACTGCCCTCCGGGTATGCCTATGCCTAAGTGACAGGAGGTTGGCACCTCCCAGGGTGTGAGAGACAAGAGTGTCACCTCCTCCCAGCAACCCCACCAGCCTCCTGGCCCCCTAGTAGAAACAGCTCCAGGGAACGGGGAGGCCCCCAGCACTAACGCCACTCATGCTGTCCCCACTGTGGGAACCAGTGAGGGCAACAGAGACCCAGAACCTGCCCTCCTGGAGCTCAAAGTCCAGAGGGAAGGCATTGAGGAGCCAGGACAGATGCCACACTGGGCAAGCAATGTGTGTACGCACTGGACGACAGACACTACCCTGCGGACAAAGGAACCGGGCACAAAGAGGTGAAGTAACCTGGCCAGGGTTGCGCAGTGAGCTCCGGTTGAGAAGCCAAAGTAGGAGCCGTGGTGGGGACACGGGCAGCTCCAGGAAGGTGATCCTGTTTTCCTGCAGCTAGGGAGCCAGGCCTTAGCAGGCTGGGCTCTCGTGCAAGCTCCAACCACTGCTCCCTTCCTTCACCATTCCGCCTTCCTTCCACAACAGGTTTTGTTTTGTGCTAGTGGGGATTGAACCTAGGCCTGCACCAGGAGCTATAGCTTCAGCCCCCAACCCTGGTTTTTATTTTGCGATAGGGTCTTGCTAAGTCCTTAAATTGCCCAGGCTGGGCTGGAATTTGCTACCCTCCTGCCTCAGCCTCCCAGAGTTCTGGGATCACAGGTGTGTGCCACCTTGCTCGGCCTCAGAACCCTTGGTAAAAGCCAGCAATCTTGTGCAGCTTTGCCCTGGACTCCACCCTTCCTGTCACTGAGGCAGCCGGCTTTCCACCTTGCCTCCCCTGCACGGTGAAGGTAGAGATGGAGCGGGCTACTCAGGCCGTGAGCCCTGCAGTCCCTCAGGGCCCTGCGCTGGCTCCTGCTCTGCTGTCGGATTCGCAGCAGGTCCTGAACCAGCAGCCTGAGCTCCCACTTTGCCTGAGCTTCACGCAGTGTAAAGGGACTCAACTATGGCAGATGCCCAGCAGGGGCCCATGGAGGGCCTCCAGGAGTGGCCTTTGTCCCGTCTGAGCCCAAAACCTTGTCACGGGTCCTCTGGAGGCCGATGTGCTGGAGGTCAGGGCCACCAAAGACCCTAGAGGGACTTTGAAAACACTTCGCCTCTATTTGAGTGATTGGACAGCGCACTCCCGCTGCCCGGTGTGGGCGGGCAGACAAGAAGCCACGCCCATCAACCAGACCCCGCCCAACACCCAGGCTCCGCCCACCACTCAGATCCCCACCACAAGGCCCCGCCCACCACCCAGCCTCCGCCCACCACCCAGGCCCCGCCCACCGGGCCTGCAACCCAGTTTCCCCCGACTTCAGCGCTCAGACTAGGAGGTGGCGTGGATTTTATAGTTTCACCTTGGTTTTACATCAGCTCAACATTGTGCACGCTCTTCTGCGCTTGCTTCTGTCTCCACAATGGAACCATCATAAAAGGCTAGTTCAAGGTCACTGAGTTGTGTAGGCGGAGGAACTGGGCCCAAGGGGTCTCAGGCCAAGGGTGGGTGCTCGCAGCTCTTGTGCCCACCGGGCTGGCTGCCCGGGGGACCGGCATGAGGTGGCTGAGTGCGCCTGGGCGGCAGCCACAGAGTCAAGTGTGGGCCCGAAGCGTCATTTTCACCGTGTGCGTGTTGTGTATCCAGAGCACGGCTCTGCAACCTGTTTCGCTCTCTTCTCATCCTAGAGCAGGCAGCTGGTTTTGGATACAAGATTGTCTTGGCCTTAAAAATAATCATCCCCGGGCCGGGGAGATGGCTCAGTGGAATAAGCGTTTCCCTGGCAAGCGCAAGTGCCTGAGTTCAATCTCTGGTTCCGC